CTCACTCCCACTCAGGAGAGCCAGCACCACGAGGTGCAGTGGGCTCAAAAAGCAGCTACTAGGATTTCTCCCAATAGAATTCCTCCTCCCAAACAGACAAATTTCCCCCAAAGCTCTGCTGTGATGATGCCATTCTCCACACTCTAGAAAATGAGCTCACACCCGGTGCTTTATTTCCACAGCATTCTCAGAAATCAGCAAATATATGCAGGGTAGTGCAGTTATGTGCCTGAGTGTTCCCTTCTATCACATTTTAGCTCACTTCCTAAAATAATTATAGCAGAGATTACAAACCAATGGTCTGTAGGACAAATCCAGCCCCCTGATCTTTTTGCTTTGACCTCAATAATGTTAAAGAAAAAAGCTGAGCCACATTATTTTTTTTGGAAGATTCTTTACTTCTTTAAGTCATGTCTATACCCAAAGTGAGGCTCGAAATCACACAACCTGGAGATCAAGAGTCGCATGTTCCACTGACTGAGCCAGCCAGGTGCCCTGAGCCACACTTTAAAATAGAGAAATTTTACATAACAATCTGGATACCCAACTTTTCTCTGAAAAAAATCAGAAGCTAGAGCAACAGCAGGCGACTGGTTATAGCGGAGGCACAGCTGCACCCTTTCAAAGGGTCACATACTTTCCAGCTTGCCTACTTTCCACACTTCCTAGGGCATCCCAGACACAGAAGCCTGAGGTCACTTCACTCACTGGCCTACCGAGGGGTCTGCGCCACCTGCACTATGTTCCATCAAAGGTTTAAAGCCAGTGCTTTAAGTCGGGTCTAGTGTGTCTCCACAACAGGCTACGGATACAGTAATTTGGCGTACAATAATTCTTCATCATGCATGCTTGGCCCATGTATCACAAGGCGGTTAGCATCCTGGCCCCTTCTGTAAAACACCAAAGGCACCCCCAGGAGGCCCCTAGAAAGTCAAGAGCATCTCAGGCTGACAGCCATGGCTAGCACCTTAAGTTTGGTGAGGTGAAAACTGCTGAAGTTTGAAGAAAAGTAAGACTTGTCTTGAGAGGACTTTTAAGTAAAGGAATCATTCATTTTTCTGATTAATCTGGCCCAGCCAATAACTGTTGAACAGAAACATGTATACTCATATAAACCTTTGGAATTTTCACCCATTTTCTTGTTGCTTTGGCAGTTTTGGTTTTCAATGATATTTACTGAGCCATATGTATGTACCAGACACCAGGCTAAGTGCTTTATCTCATTTAATCCCCCTTATCCCACAGAAGAGGCAATAATATCATCCACATTTTACCAATGAGGAAATGTGAGGCTCAGAGAGGGTAAATAATTTGCCTGTAGTCACACAGTCAACAAGCAGCAAATCTAGGAAACAAACTTATCTGGCTACATGGTAAGGCTCTGATGATGTCAAAACTCTTAAAGACAGTTTCAATCAAAACCTGATTATAAAACAGAAGGGGTTTTTGTACTGGATAGTAAATTCTTTGAGGTAAACAACAATAAGAAGTGGGCAGTAGTGGAGCATAACAAATGACCTTTTATTAGTGGTACAGGTAAGGGTTCTAATTTCAAGACTTTCCATGCATATATGTAAAGGTGCAACTAAATAACAAGGAAGGGATAAGAATTCAATACTTGTTATTTCCCCTAAATGAGCCTTCCAAATGATTTCTAAGATAATCATCCCACAGGATTTTAGAGATATACTACAGATCAATATAATACTTATATTAAAAGACTCAAAAAGCGGGGCGCCTGGGTGGCTCAGTGGGTTAAGCCTCTGCCTTTGGCTCAGGTCATGATCTCAGGGTCCTGGGATCAAGCCCCACATGGGGCTCTCTGCTCAGCAGGGAGCCTGCTTCCTCCTCTCTCTCTGCCTGCCTCTCTGCCTACTTGTGATCTCTCTCTCTCTCTCTCTGTCAAATAAATAAAAATAAAAATTTTTTTAAAAAACTTTCTAAAAAGACTCAAAAAAGCATTTTCATGTTAATTATAGTCCCCCAGAAACAAATAGAAGCATATTCACTTTATTTTTTTTTAAGATTTTATTCATTTGGGATGCCTGCGTGGCTCAGTCATTAAGTGTATGCCTTCGGCTCAGATCATGATCCCAGTGTCCTGGGATGGAGCCCCGCATCTGGCTCCCTGCTCAGCAGGAAGCCTGCTTCTCCCTCTCCCTTCTCCCTTCTCCTTCTCCCTCTGCTTGTATTCCCTCTCTCACTGTGTCTCTCTCTGTCAAATAAATAAAATCTTTAAAAAAAAAAAGATTTTATTCATTTATTTCAGAGAAAAAGAGAGAAAGACCATGAGCAGGGGGAAGGGGCAGAGAGAGAAGCAGGCTCCCTGCTGAGCAGAGAGCCCAATGAGGGGTTCGAACCCAGGACTCCAGGATCACAACCTGAGCCTAAGGCAGACTGACCCACCCAGGTACCCCCATATTCAGTTTAAATTTAAGGGGTGCCTGGGTGGCTCAGCGGGTTGAGGCCTCTGCCTTCGGCTCAGGTCATGATCCCAGGGTCCTGGGATGGAGCCCCGTATTGGGCTCTCTGCTCAGCAGGGAGCCTGCTTCCTCCTCTCTCTCTCTCTCACTCTCTGCCTGCCTCTCTGCCTACTTGTGATCTCTGCCTGTCAAATAAATAAATACATAAAATCTTTTTAAAGAAATTTTAAAAAAATGAGCACCCATTCTCCCACTCCCAAGTGAGTATCTGCTTGCATACTGCCACCTCTACAGAACCCATCATATGTGCCACTCCTGTCGCCCCCCACTGACCTCCCCCAACAAAAAATAAAAATAAAGGTACTTGGGATCGTCTCCCATCCTGAGTATGGTAACAAAAAAAGCAGGATATTATTATTCGTTTTTTTTACTTATTTTTTAAAAAATTATTTATTAGAGAGAAAGAAAGGGGGGAGGGTGGGAGCTCAAGCCAGCAGGGGGAGGGGCAGACAGAGAGAATCCTGAAGCAGACTCCTAGCCCAGTGGGCCTGACCTGGGGCTCGATCCTATGAACTAGGAGATCACAACCTGAGCCGAAACCAAGAGCAGGATGCCCAACCAACTGAGCCACCCAAGTGGCCCAATTATTAGTTTTTAATTCAGCTCTACGCCCAACAGGGGGCTCAAACTCATGACCCCAAGATCAGGAGCCACATCCTCCATTGAATGAACCACCCAGATGCTCCAAAGAAGTAGGATATTAAAAAATAAAGTAAAACAACCTTACAGAGTGGCATATGAAGAAAAAAATGGGAAAGCATTGATTCTTATTAGAAATATTTTGTTCATTTAGGAATACTGAGTTGGTGGCAGGAAAAAATAGTATCTAGGTTAGAAAAATCAAAGGTTTCCTTTATAAAGTGACTTTAAAAATATCTCAAGAACATTCTGGAAAAAGCAAAATTAGAGAGACAATAAAAAGATAAGTGGTTGCCAGGGGTTTGTGGGGCAGGTTCACAGATGGAGCATCGGCAATTTTAAGGGTGGTGATATTATTCTGTATAATACTCTAATAGTAAATACATGACATCATGTACTTGTCAAAACCCATAGAACTTTTAACACAAAGAGTGAACCCTTTTTCTTTTTGAGGAAGGGAGGAGCAAGGGAGAGGGAGAGAGAGACTCTTAAGAAGGCTCCCCACCCAGCCCAGAGTCTGATGCAGGGCTCAATTTCACCACCCTGAGATCATGACCTGAACCGAAATCAAGAGTCAGATGCTTAACCAACTGAGCCACCCCAGCGCCCCAAGAGTGAACCTTAAAGTATGCAAATTTAAGGCCATTTAGTAGGTCAGGGGATCCCAGGAAGGAATAGACACCATACAATATAATCTAACTGTATTACAAACGTATGAAACAATGTCATCCCAGAGGGTTGGTGGAAGGGGGGAGTTGTTGACCTACATAATTTTGGAAATGAATGGCATCTGTAAGACTAAAGTAAAGGCAAAAGGAAATATACATAAGCACTGTACTCTAGTTGATAAAGTGTTTCCCATGGAAGTAGGAGTGAACAATTAAGTACATGGATGGTGAACGGTGACAGCCAGGTTTTTCATTATTGGGAGAGGTTACAGATAAGCAAGCGGAGGAGGCTAGAATGATCCATGCCTTAATGGATTACATTGGAGACATCAGTAAAAACTCATGTTTAGCTTAATATTGATATAGGTATATAAAAATAGATACAGAGAAACATTTATAAACATGCATAAATACTCAAATAGTGTATACCTGGGATTTCAGCTAACAGAGCCTAGAAACACCACCACCCCAAAGTAGCAATGACCCTACCTAGCACTCGGATCTTGATTTCTAATATCATTAGCATTCTCTAATGAAAGGAACCAGGGCTTTGTGGAGAAGAAATGGCTGATTCTAGAACTAAAACAGGGGATACACAGGACAAGTCTGGAGTATCTTACAATGCTCAAAAGTAAGGAAGTGCTCAAAAGGAACCCCACCCCACAACAATGGGGGCATGTTAAAGTAACACACAGGCTAACCAAAAGAGCTCATCAATGGCCAAGGCTAGAAAAATTTAAGGAACACAATAAAGCAGTAATGGATTATGACCTAAAGTATAAAATAATTATCCATGAGCCCATAATAATAAAAAGAAATGACTACATAAATAAGCAAATGGGGGAGAAGAGACAATCTTCCATTCAGAAGAATTCCCAATAATTTAGGTAGAACACCCTAAAGGAGATGGAGTATAACTTCCCACTACTTAAGTGGCAAGTATACAATGCCTTTATTCCAAAACAACACACTACAAAAGAAAATTTTTTAAAAACTAACATTTGAGTGGAGAAGGGAGAAAGTGGACATAAACCTCAGCCAGGTGACCAAACCAACATTAACAGTGATAAATCATGTTGACAGTACATACTCGTGACAAGACTATAGGAATGGCACTTTACCTCTGTGGTCTTCCTCCACAAAACGCAGAACACAAGTCTAACAGTGAAAAAACATGGGACAAATCCCAGTTGAGGGACATTCTACAAAATACCTGATCAGTTCTCCTCACAGCCGACAGTGTCATCAAACAAATGAAAATCCAAGAAATTGTCACAGCAAGAGGAGCCTAAGAAGACATGACAACTAAACATTATCCCAGTGGGATCCTGAAAGAGAAAAAGTACATTAGTTAAAAAGTAAGGAAAAGTGAGTGAACTATGGACTTTAGTTAATAACAGTGTTTCAATATTGGTTAATTAACTGTAACAAATATACCATATCAAGGTCATCTATTAATAATAAAAAAAATTGAGTGCTGGGCATATGGGAACTCTGTATCATCCTCTCAATTTTTCTATAAAATTAAAACTGTACAAAACAATTGATCTAATTAAAAAAAAATTACCTCAAGATGATCTAGAATCTCCAGCACAGGAGTCTTATTCACATCTTCGGCTCTAAAAGCACCTTCTTTTCAGTAGTCTAGAAATGTGACAAAATGAGGAGTTAATTATCTTTTTTTTTATCTTTTTGCTGAGTTTTCCTAACTCAGTATGGAAACCTGACAAAAACTCAGACTTCTGGTGCTTTTAAGTAATAGCACACAGAATGCTAGACCACACTTTTAGGGCAGGTGGCTCTTTCCCAAGTAGCATCACAAGCTGAATCATCTTCCTTTCTTTTAGGTCACAAATATTTTCTACAGTAATTAAATTCTACATTATCCCAAGGAGAGAGCAGCAGCAAAGAAAAACTAAAAAATAACCCACTGGTTTTTTTTTTAAGTATAATAAGCAGATTTTACTTTTAAGCAACTTTTTTTTTTTCTGAGCCAGATTAGATCGTCATTCATTCAGGAAATTTATTTTTTTGTATTACTGTTATGTTATTCACCATAGTACATCATTAGTTTTTGATGCAGTGTTCCATGATTCACTTGCTGTGTTTAACACCCAGTGCTCCATGCAATCCGTGCCCTCCTTAATACCCACCACCAGGCTAACCCATCCCCGTACTCCCTCCCCTCTGAAACCCTCAGTTTGTTTCCCAGAGTCCATAGTCTCTCATGGTTTGTCTCCCCCTCCAATTTCCCCCTCTTCCTTTTTCCCTTCCTTCTCCTAATGTCCTCCATGCTATTCCTTATGTTCCACAAATAAGTGAAACCATATAATTGACTTTCTCTGCTTGACTTATTTCACTCAGCATAATCTCCTCTAGTCCTGTCCGTGTTGATACAAAACCTGGGTATATTCATCCTTTCTGATGGCTGAGTAAGATTCCATTGTATCTATAGACTTCACTCTCAGCAATAGACAGATCATCTAAGCAGAAGACCAACAAAGAAACAAGGGCTTTGAATGACACACTGGACCAGATGGACCTCATAGATATACACAGAACATTCCACCCTAAAAACCAGAATACTCACTGTTCTCGAGCGCACATGGAACTTTCTCCATGGGCATTTGGGTCACAAAATCAGGGCTCAACAGGTAACAAAAGGTTAAGATTATTCCCTGCATATTCTCAGACCACAATGCTTTGAAACTGGAACTCAACCACAAGAAAAAGTCTGGAAGAAATTCATACACTTGGAAGCTAAAGACCATCCTGCCCAAGAATGTTTGGGTCAACCACGAAACCAAAGAACAACAATTCATGGAAACCAATGAAAAACCAATGAGAACGAAAATACATCGGTCCAAAGCCTATGGGATACGGCAAAGGCAGTCCAAAGAGGAAAATACATAATCATTTGTTTTCTTAAGGCTTTTGCAGCACACGTGGTTGTGACATAACATCCCGAGGCCTCAGCTATTTATAGAAGAAAGGATGAAGTGCAGGCCCCACAAGCATGTACAAAACTTTAAACTGCATGGCCAAAAGAATAAATGCCTTTTTTTAAAATGCTGACTATAATATAACCCCTTTCTGTTCCATTAAGAGCAATTTATATAAGGACCAGTGCCCTTACTGGCTTATTTTGACAAATGAGCATTCTCTTACCATGACTCAGAAACTACATGAGTCACCTCTTACATGTCGTTTTGCCTCCTACAACTTCAGTTGCCCATGCTCAACTGCAGTCCAGCAGCAGATGACCCACCTGCCAACGAATCAGCAGAAGGTCAAGACTGGCCTAACACTACGTCACAGTGCGTATGCCATTCATCTCACTGTGCATCACGTAGGCATTTTATCATCTCATAAGAAGGGTGAGTACAAAAAAAAAATCTATTTTAAGAGAGACACCACATTCACATAATTTCATTATGGTATACGGTCATAAATGTTCTATTTTATTATTATTAATCTTTTTCTGTCCCTAATATACAAACTTTACCACAGGTATCTATATACATACAGAAAAAAAAAAAACACAGTAGGGGCAGCTGGGTGGCTCAGTCATTAAGTGGCTGCCTTCAGCTCAGGTCATGATCCCAGCCGTGGTGGGATCAAGCCTCCTGTAGAGCTAGCTCCCTGCTCAGTGGGAAGCCTGCTTCTCCCTCTCCAGCTCCCCACTGCTTGTGTTCCCTCTATCACTGTCTCTGTCAAATAAATATATAAAATCTTTTGGGAAAAAAAAACCATAGTATATATAGGGTTTGGTACTATCTGCAGTTTAGGGGATCCACTGGGTGTCTTCAAACGTAATTCCCTGTGGATAAAGTGGGGGGGGTTGCCATATCTTCATCCCAGTAATCCTATACTACAATGTTAACTTTATCATTTGGGGGCAAATAATGTCTTAGATCAGAGGGACCAGAGAGATACAAGTCTCCTGACTGAACCTCATTTTATAACCACAGGAGAGTTAACACACCCTGTTTATGCTGTATATATTCATATACACTTTATACTGTGTGTACACACACACACACACACACACACACACACTTTACCATATTTTTACCAAATTTTTTAATTTCTTAATTATTTTATCTTTAACATTACCCCAAAAATGAGCAAAAGTCCTGGGCACCTACACGAATGCTGTTTTCTACCATATGTAATAGCTTTTTCAAATCTCTGATATGACAATGCAAAATCCACCCCACATTCATGTCAACTTTCTTCCAGTGACCTAAATCACCACAGCTTTTTCCCCCTCCTAAATGTCCAAAAAGTTGTATATTACCACTATGAGCACCTGAAATAATGTTTTTTAACTTTTTATTGTCCTCTAGGTATTATCATTGTAAATCTTGAGAACAAAAACCAACAGTACCTTGTGCACACTAAATACTTAGTAAAAATGACAACATACAGGATTTTACATTAATTGGAAATCAAGGTGTTTCAAGGTCGTTTTTTTCTTCCCCCCAACAAAAGGGTCTTTATTTGTAAAAGGCCAGAAGAGCTCCTCAGGTGATGGGACAGGCAGGCCGGCTTCTCAGGGGTCAGGGGCATTTGGGCAGTGGTGCTTGAATAGGGGGAGAGGGTACCCTGAGTGCTCTGTGTTGCCCTGGGCTGCCTTGGGGACAGACGGCACTAGCTCAAAGGTAGGGTTAACTCCAAAGGCCTCAGCCTCCAGCAGTTCTGAAACAGAATCCTCCTTGGTCAGCACTGGGGTTTGTCAGTGCTGCCTGCAGTAATGCTCCCGGGATGGCTCTCTTTAGACCAGCCATGGGGGCCGAGCACCCTCTGGGACCCCTTCTGATAGTCCGGGAGGTGACAAAGGGCAGCTGGGCTGGCAGATGCCCCCAGGGCTGGGATCAGTGCCCTTTTGCAGGGAGCCTTCCAAATGGAAACTGATTATGGTTCTCACAGAAATCCAACAGGATGAAAGGGCAACCCCGCCCCTGGGGAATGGTGCCCCCACCTTGCCACCCTAGGCCTTAGGATTCCTCTTCACCCCCACCTGCCCTCTGTCACTCTTCCTCCTTGGAGTCCACTACTAGCACCCACTTGAAGATATGAAGGGAAATGTCGCCCACAGTCTCTCAGGACTTCTCCCATCTCCAGACATTCCTGATGCTTGCCATCACTTTCTTGATGTCATCCTTATCCCAGCTCTGGGTCTCTGTCCACATGGTCCAGCCAGCCATGCTGGTAGGTCTAAGGTCGAGGCTGTGGTTGGGCTGCCTCCCGTCCGGCAGGCTCACGTTCAGCACAGGACCCGGGTGCCGCTCTCTTGGCCTGCTGTCCCTCCCCACTCCAAGGCCTTTATTAGCTCAATTCTTAAATGGCATTATTTAAAAAGAAAGACATGACAATTGATGGGTAACACATGCTAAAGGCAGATCATCTCTACATTTTATTAAAGAGATTACTTAGAACAGTGTTTTTCAAATGTTAAGTTGTGGCCTATTAGTGAATTGTATAATAAATTTATTGGGTGATGACAAACATTTTAGAAAAAGAAAAGAAGTATCCTAGAAAGCATCAGAGTGCTTTATACGTAGTAATGATAAACAGTTACTCAAAAAATTTATTTGAGGTATAGATATGTATTAAATCATGATTTAAATGTGTTTTTTGGGGTTTGTTTTATTTTGTTTTTTTTTACTGTGGGTTGTTATAAGAAATACTGACTTAGAATGAGGTATTATAGGTTACGTAATAAAGAATATTTACTACCTTTCCATTTTACTTTCTTCTTAATAGATGGGTAGCTTTCTAATTAACCAAATGGAGTTGAGGAACATCTGGACATAAAAGCCTAAAAAACTCTTTATGTTATGAATTTTTCTGTGACTGTATCTTTCTCAAATGCATCCTCAATGTGTTTTGTGTGGCTCCCTCACATATTACCATAGGTTCCTACCTTCTAACAAGTTTTTTTTTAAGTAATCAGTGTCCTAAACCCAGAAATTCAAGATCACAAACCATGGGTATTTCCTACTTGAAAGGTATGAAAGATGAACAAAGTCCCACTTATAATCATTTATTTAACAATGACAAATCTGACAATCCTCCCAAACCCATTGTTCATTCAACAAAATCTGAGCACACAGCTTAGACGTAGACAAGACCCATGCCCCCTCAAAGAAACACACTGGCAGTTATAGTAGAGTGGGATTAAGTCCTATAATAAGCTGTCAGATACAGAAACAATTAAAGTAAGACAAGGAAAAAGAGTATGAATGAAAGCTTCATTGAAGAGATGACATTTAAGCTAGGTTGCAAAGAATAGGGTTCTTTGAAATAAGAACAACAGAAATAGAACATTAGAAGGAACTCTACACATCATGTAACCAAGTGGCTCCCAAATGGGGATGATTTTGCCCAAAAAGGCACATTTGGAAATGTTTGGAGACAATTTTAGTCGTCATACTGGAGAGGGATGCTACTGGCATTTGGTAGACAGAGGCCAAAGACACTGCTCAACATGCTACAGGCACAGGACAGGCCCGGACAATAAAGAATTATCTGGTCCCAAATATCAATAGTGCCAAGGTTGAGAAACTCTGAATCCAACTCAGTACAATCCCCTTGTTTTACACAAGGAGGTAACTAAAGGCCGCAGGGATTTTAAAATTTGCTAAAAAAGCTAAGTTTATAAAACAGGCCTCATAAATCTTGTCTAGTGTTCAATTCACAACACACACCCACATGTTATTATACTAGGAAACAGATGTTTTATTCATTTTTTAAAGGTGTTAATTATTTATTTGACAGAGGAAGACAGTGAGAGAGGGAACACAAGCAGGGGGAGTAGAAGAGGGAGAAGCAGGCTTCTCACCCAGCAGGGAGCCCGATATAGGGCTCGATCCCAGAACTCTGGGATCATGACCTGCACAGAAGGCAGACGCTTAGTGACTGAGCCACCCAGGTGTCCCAGGAAACAGATGTTTTAAAAGAGTGGGAATGTGGGGCACCTGGGTGGCTGAGTGGGTTAAAGCCTCTGCCTTGGCTCAGGTCATGATCCCAGGGTCCTGGGATCGAGTCCTGAATCAGGCTCTCTGCTCAGCAGGGAGCCTGCTTCCTCCTCTCTCTCTCTGCCTGCCTCTCTGCCTACTTGTGATCTCCGTCTGTCAAATAAATAAATAAATAAAACCTTTTTTTAAAAAAAGGGTGGGAAGTTTGTGTAAGGTGGAAAAACAAACTAGATAGAAATCAAAGGTGATATTATTATACAGTCTTAAAACAGATCTATCAATGGCTCAAAGCAAAAAGGATACTACAATACCATTTAAAAAATTATACCCATATTTGTTTTAATACTAGATTTATCATCTATATAACTCAGTTACTGAACATGGACCTCTAAGAAAAATTACAATAAAAACTAAAGAATTGGAAGGTCAGCATACACACACACCACACTCAGTTACTCCTGAGGGCAGGGCTTCAAAGCTTTCCCAGCTCCAGCCACAATCACTGGGTGTCTGGAACCTGGGTGGGATTTGCCCCTTTAATTCAAAATCAAATTCTAAGTTACCCTTTCCGTCGGCTGGTGAGGTTTCTAATAAAAAAAAAAAAAAGGATGAAATGTACATACACCTCCTCAAGGTCCTGAATTAGGGCCTGGACACCTGAGGTTACCTAGACATCTTTTATTTTTTCATCCTTGCTCTTCAATGAACAAAAAGGATGGGAGTGAGGGGTAAGATAAACAACGATGCTAAGAGCAATACAGATTAGATTTCAAAAAAAGGTTTTTGCTCTAATAACTACAGAAATAAAGACATATATATATATATATAGATATACACTCCTTACCTCCACAATTTTTCAAAATGATGAAGCTTCAACTAAGATAACTTGTCCAGTTTGACACACAACAGTTCACGGTGAAAAACTTGAGAAAAGGCTGCAGACACTATCCTAAAAAAAAAAAAAAAATGAAAGACCAAACAGGTAAGATTTCAACTATGAAAGGTTTAAAGAAAAGAGCATAAGCAAGTTATACAGCAAATAAATACAAGGTCATGAAACAGAAAGCATTTGTTTGTACACCTTTACTACCTGAAATTTCAGTAAATAAGGTTGATGTTCCATCAACACTAACAGGAAGTTCACCTGAGTAAATCAGTCACCTTGCTCCCCTTCCCACTAAGTCGCTTTTAGTACCTAAGGGAGATCTATCAACAGCAGAGGGTTAGGGTTAGGGCAAAGATTTTCTGAGGTTTTGTCTTCCCAGAAAGCTAGCAAGAAGAACTTTAATTGCAGCCCTGGCAAACCATCAGGGGTCCCGGTAGCTTCCCATTTATACTAGCCATTAAAATTTAATGGGTTTCAGGTTCCTTAAGAACCATAGAGGTCTTAAAATTTAAATGACTCCATACCATGTCTAAGTTATTCTCTGGTAAAGGGATTTTTTAGATTTCCACACCCCAAAAGAGCACCACACCCTTACGGCAAAGCCCAACAGCAAAGAGGGTATATGGTTCTTTGTCACCTGATATACCTTCTCAATAGAATTACAACTGCTCAGGGTGCCGGGGTGACTCAGTGGGCTGGGCCTCTGCCTTCAGCTCAGGTCATGATCTCAGGGTCCTGGGATCGAGCCCCACATCTGGTTCTCTGCTCGGCAGGGAGCCTGCTTCTCCTTCTCTCTCTCTCTGCCTGCCTCTCTGCCTACTTGCTATCCCTGTCAAATAAATAAATAAAATCTTAAAAAAAAAAAGAGGTGCCCCCTGGGTGGCTCAGTGGGTTAAGTCTCTGCCTTCAGCTCAGGTCTCAGGGTTCTGGGATCGAGCCCCGCATCGGGCTCTCTGTTCAGTGGGGAGCCTGCTTCCCCCTCTATCTCTGCCTGCCTCTCTGCCTACTTGTGATCTTTGTCAGGTAAATAAAATCTTAAAAAAAAATTAAAAAAGAAAATTAAAAAAAGAAAAAGAAAGAATTACAACTGCTCACTAAAGACTGGGAAGCCCTCCCCATAACCCAACTCACAAAGTCAATCACCTATCACTCAAAAATACAAAAAAAGAAAAATACCTGATCATAAATGCCAGTGAATATATATAAATATACATAAAGAAGAAAGCAGAAATAAGTACATACCTATCAATAATTACTTTAAATGCAAATGGACTAAAGGGCCAATAAAAAGATACAAGCTAAGGGGCACCTGGATGGCTCAGTCTGCACAGCATGCAACTCCTGATCTCAGGGTCATGAGTTCAAACCTCATGTTAGGTGTGGGGCCTACTTAATTAAAAAAAAAAACAGATACCAGGTCAATGAATTAAAAAAACAGGATCCACCTATATGCAGTCTACAAGACACTCACTTCAGAACTAAAGACACATGTGGACTGAAAGTGAAGGGATGGAAAAGCATTTATCATACAAATCAAGTGAGAAAACAAACAAAAAAAGCCAGGGTATGGGGGACTTGAGTGGCTCAGTCAGTTAAGGCTCTGACCTTCTCATTTCAGCTCAGGTCTTGATCTCAGGCCATGGTTTCAGGCCCTGTGTTGTGCTCCACACTGGGTGTGGAGCCTATTTAAAAACAAAACAAAACAAAACAATACAAACAAACAAAAACTTACTATGTACAAGAGCCAGGGTAGCAATACCTGTAGCAGACAAAATAGACTTTAAAATGAAAACTGTAGAGTAAATGAAACAAGTTGGGATTGGGAGGGAGACAAACCATAAGTGACTCTTAATCTCACAAAACAAACTGAGGGTTGCTGGGGGGAGGGGAGTTGGGAGAGGAGGGGTGGGGTTATGGACATTGAGGAGGGTATGTGCTATGGTGAGTGCTGTGAAGTGTGTAAACCTGGAGATTCACAGACCTGTACCCCTGGGGAAAAAATAAATATATGTTTATTAAAAAAATAAATAAATAAAATAAAATAAAATAAAATGAAAACTGTAGCAAGAAACAAAGAAAAGCCCTACATAATTATAAAGGAAACAATGCAGTAAGAGGATATAAAAGTTGTACATATCTATGCACCCAGCATAGAAGAACCAAAATTCGTAAAGCAATTACTAACAGACAGAAAGGGAGAAACAGAAAGTAATAATAGTAGTGAACTTTAACACCCCACTTACATCAACAGATAGATCATTCAGACAGAAAATGAAAAGGAAAGAATGGCTTTAGGCAGCACATTAGACCAGATGGACCTAACAGATATACACAGAACATTCCATCCCAAAACAGAATACACATTCTCTTCAAGTGCACATGGAACATTCTCCAGAATAGATCATGTAAGGCCACAAAACAAGTCTCAATGAAAACTGAAAACACATCAACCATCTTTTCCAACCAAAACAATATGAAACTACAAATCAATTACAAGAAAAAATTCCGGAAAAACACAAATACATATAGGCTAAAACAACATGGTACTAAAAAAATGGGTCAACCAAGAAATCAAATGGGAAATCAAAAAATACATAGAGACATATGAAAATGAAAATATGCTGATCCAAAATCTTTGGGATGCAGCAAAAACACTTCTACGAGGGAAATTTATAGCAATACAGGCCTTCCTCAAGAAATGAGAAAAATGTCAGATAAACTATCTAACCTTACTCCTAAGGAAGCCAGAAAAAACAAGGCCCAAAACTAGTAGAAAGAAGGAAATAGTAAAGACTACAGGAAAAAGAAATGACATAGAGACTACAAATACAATAAAAAAATGATCAATAAAATGAGGAGCTGGTTCTTAAAAAAGATAAAATTGATAAATCATTAGCCAGATTCATCAAGAAAAAAAGAGAGCTCAAATAAATCAGAAATGAAAGAGAAGTAACAAACTGACACCACAAAAACACAAAGACTGTAACAGACTACTACCAAATGGCGCCTGGGTGACTCAGTGGGTTAAAACCTCTGCCTTCAGCCCAGATCATGATCCCAAGTTCCTGAGATCGAGCCTCACATCGGGCTCTCTGCTCAGCGGGGAGCCTGCTTCCTCTCTCTCTCTGCCTGCCTCTCTGCCTACTTGTGATTTCTCTCTGTCAAATAAATAAATAAAATCTTAAAAAAAAAGAGAGAGAGAGACTACTACCAAAAACTATGCAGCATGAAAACGGACAACCCAGAAGAGATGGCTAAATTCCTAGAAACATACAATTTTCTAAAACTGAATCAAGAAGAAATAGAATATTCGAACAGAATGATTACTATAATAGATAAAACTGAATCAGTAATCAAGAAACTTACAAAAAGCAAAAGTCTAGGTCCACATAGCTTCACAGGTGAATTCTACCAATTATTTAAAGAGTTAATACCTATCCTGAACAAAGAATTCCAAAAAATAGGAAGGAAAAATTCCCTAATCATTCTATGAGACCAGCACTACACTGATACCAAAACCAGACAAAGATATTAGAATAAAAGAAAATTACAGAGAAATATCCCTGATGAAAAGAAATGAAAAATCTTCAACAAAATATGAGCACACCAATTCATTATTACATTAAAAGAATCATTCACTGTGATCAAGTAGGATTTATTCCAGGGATGCAAAGGTGGTACAATACTCACAAATCAATGAGACATCAAATAATCAAGAGAAAGGATAAAAAACCTTATGATAATCTCAACAGTTGCAGAAAAAGCACTTGACAGTACCACAACCACTCACGATAACAACTCCCAACGAAGTAGGATGAGAGAGAACATACCATAACACAATAAAACCCACATATAAAAACCCACAGCTAACAGCATACTCAATGATGAAAAAGTGAGAACTTTTCCTCTAAGATCAGGAAGAAGACAAGGATGTCCACACTCATCGCTTTTGCTCAACATAGATCTGGAAGTCCTAGTCAGAGTAATCAGACAAGAAAAAGAAAAAAAAAAAGGGCAGAAAGTTGTAGAGAATAAGTAAACCTATTTGCAGTTGATGTGATACTATATAGAAAAAACCCTAAAGCCTCCACCAAAAAATTATTAGAACTGATCAATGAACTCAGTAAGTTGCAGGATATAAAATTATATACAGAAATATGTTGCATTTCTACACATTAATAATGAAATAGTAGGAACAGAAATTAAAACAATTCCATTTACAATATCACCAAAGAGGATAAAAATTCCTACAAATAAACTTAACCAAGAATGTGAAAGACCTGTATTCTGAAAACTATAAAACACCAATGAAAGAAACTGAAGAGACACAAATGGAAGGATACTTCATGCTCATGGATTAGAATAATTAATATTTTTAAATATCCATAATACCCAAAGAAATCTATACATTCACTGTAATCCCTATTGAAACACCAAGAGCGTTTTTCACAGAACTAGAACAAATAATACTAAAATCTATATGGAACCACAAAACACTTTGACAAGCCAAAGCAATCTTGAGAAAGAACAAACCTGGAGGTACTACAATCCCAGATATCAGGACATACTATAAAGCTGTAATAATTAACACTATGCTACTGGCACAAAAACAGACACATAGATCAAAGAAACAAAATAGAAGGCACAGAAATAAACCCACACTTAGTCAATTAATCTATGACAAAGGAGGTAAGAGTATACAAAGGGGAAAGGAGTCTCTTTAATAAATGATGCTGGGAAAACCAAACAAGCTACATGCTAAACAACTAAAATGGACCACTTACTTACACCATACACAAAAATAAACTCAAAATGGATTGAAGACATAAATCTAAAACCTGAAAATACAAAACTCCTTGAAGAAAACATAGCTAGCAATTTCGGTGACATCAGGCTTAGCAACATTTTTCTAGATATGTCCCCCAGGCAAGGGAAACAAAAGCAAAATTAAACTATTGGAACTACACCAAAATAAAAGGCTTTTACACAACAAAGAAAAGCATCAACAAAATGAAAAGGCAACCTACAGAATGGAAAAAGATACTTGCAAATATATTAACT